AAGGGTAAACCATGACACACATGCTCGCTGAAACGCGCACAGCCACCTTCCTGGGTTGGAAAAGCAAGGAAGTTGTGAGTAGTGTGTTACAATGTGGTGCAAGTGAGGGGCTCTTTCTTCTCTGGGTGCTGGATGACTCCGTCTGAGGTCTGGGCTCTGTGTGTTGTGGCTTGTGGTCACTATGTCTGTCCGGGCATCCATTGTGTGTCTGCACACACTGCACTAGTGGTGCCCAGTGAAATGGTGAGTTGCTCTCATCAAGCCGTTGTGATGCATGCAATTCCAGTCCATCAGTCAAGAAGGGTGTTTTCAGCCAGTGCCCAGAGATGCCTTTCCTGCAGGGCTGATCTCCACCCACTCCTCTCCCAAATTATACTTGTGCTCAGCATTACTCCATCCCAGGTGAAAAATCTGGCATGTGGACTTGTTAAATTTCATGCCATTGATGGTTGCCCAGTGCTCCAATCTATCTAGATCCTTCTGTGAGTCCTCTTGTCCCTGTACAGACTTAGCAGCACCTCCCAATTAGGTGTCATCAGCCAAGTTGCTAATGGTGCAATCAACTCTATCCGTTTCTTTGAAAAAAATATTGAGGAGGACTGGCCCCAAGAATTGAACCCTCAGAAACATTGGTGGTGACCTGTGACCTGCTAGATGTAGTCCCCCCATTCACTACAACTCTTTGAGCCATGCCCTTCAGCCAGTTCTTCACTCATCTCACTATGAACCTGCTCATCTCACATCACACATTGACATTGTGTCCAGACTGATTTTCCGAGGAACAGCACAAAAAGATACACTAAAATACCAAAAAACTCATCCACAGCCTTCCCTTCATCCATGAGGGTGGTGATCTTACCCTAGAAGGTTATGGATATGTTGGAAGACACCGGAGGAGGTCCATGAAGATGACCAGAAGGCTGAAGCACCTCTCCTGTGAAGACAATCTGAGAGAGTTGGGATTGTTCAGCCTGGAGAAAGCTCTAGGGACACGTTATAGGAACCTTCCAGTACTTAAAGTGGCCTACAGAAAAGTTGTGGAGGGACTCTTCATCAGAGAATATTGTGATTGGTTGAGGGGGAACAGTTTTAAACTGAAAGAGGAGAGTTTTTCATTAGATGTTTGAGAAGAAATTGTTTACTATGGGAGTGGTGAGACTCTGGAATAGGCTGCCCAAGGAAGTTGTAGATGCGCCTTGCCTGGAAGTTTTTAAGGCCTGGTTCGATGGTGCATTGGGCAACCTCATTTAGTGGGTGATGTCCCTACCCATGGAAGGCAGTTGAAACTTGATGATCATTAAGATCCCTTCCAACTCTAACCATTGTATCATTTTCTGATTCGATGATGTCAACAAAAATGACCAGGATGATTTCTAGGTGAACCCATGATGACTGTGCCTCATAATTGCATTTAAAATGAATGCAATTTACTGCTTTTAATGCAAGTAGTACTCAGTATGATCTTCTCCATACTATCTCCAGGAGCTCAGCTTAGACTAAAAGGTCTGTTGTATCCTCGGTCTTCCCTCATGCTGTTCTTTCAAATTGGAGTAACATTGGTTAGCTTACAGTCAGCAGGGATCCATACCCAGATCCCAAAGTCCTTTGGCAGCCGATTGAGAGGGGTCCTGCCATAACAGAATCACAGAATCTTAGTGGTTGGAAGGGACCTCCGAGATCATCGAGTCCAACCACAAAAAACAAACAAACAAACAAACAAACAAAAAACCCCAACCAAACAAAAAACCACAACCACCACAAAGACAACAACCCAAAACCACCACCCATCAACTAAACCCCACACCCACAACCCCACACACTACACCCCACCACAAACCAATAATCTTGGGCACTAGAGCATGCCCTGAAGAGCCACGTCTACACGTTTCTTAAATACCTCCAGGGATGGTGACTCCACCACCTCCCTGGGCAGGTTGTTCCAGTGCCTGACCACTCTTTCAGTAAAGTAATTCTTCCTAATATCTAATCTAAACCTCCCCTGCTGCAGCTTCATACCGTTACCTCTGCTCCTGTCATTATTCCTTTGGGAGAAGAGGCCAACACCCACCTCTCTACACCCTCCTTTCAGGTAGTTGTAGAGGGCAATGAGGTCTTCCCTCAGCCTCCTCTTCTCCAAACTAAACATGCCCAGTTCCCTCAACCTCTCCTCATAGGACTAGTTCTCCAGACCCCTCACCAGCTTGGTGGCTCTCCTCTGGACACTCTCCAGCACTTCAATGTCTTTCCTGTAGTGAGGGGCCCAAAACTGAACACAGTACTCAAGGTGAGGCCTCACCAAAGCCGAGTACAGAGGCACGATGACTTCCCTACTCCTGCTGGCCACGCTATTCCTGATACAGGCCAGGATGCCATTGGCCCTCTTGGCCACCTGGGCACACTGCTGCCTCATGTTAAGCCGGCTGTCCACTAACACTCCCAGGTCCTTTTCTGCCGGGCAGCTTTCCAGCCACTCTTCCCGAAGCCTGTAGCATTGCCCGGGGTTGTTGTGACCAAAATGCAGGACCCGGCACTTGGCCTTATTAAACCTCATCCCATTGGTCCTGGCCCAATGATCATGAACATGTACAAGCTCCTTCAGTACTCTGGGATGAATCCCACCAGGCCCCATGGATTTGTGGAATTCTCCTGATACAGCTGCTCCCAGACAATTTCAGTGTCCACCAATGGAAAATCAGTGTTCTTGCACTTGTGGTGCTCTGATTCAGTGGACTGGGCAGCCCTAAGTCAACCACTATTCCTGAGTCCAGAAAATCATTCAATGCCTCTGCTTCTTGTTCATTGCTGCCAATCAGGTGACCACCAGGTATCGGTCTAATGTTTTCTTAACACCTCCTCTTCCTATTAATGTACTTACAAAAGCCTTTCTTGTGATCTGACACAACACCGGCCACTTACCACTCCAGTTGAGCTTTGGCCTTTTCTATCTTCTCCCTGCATGTACAACCCCCAGCTCTGCTGTCTTCCTGCAAGGCCTGACCTTGCTTCCAGAGATCACACAAGTTTCTTTTCCTCTTGAGCTCCATGAGGAGTTCCCTCTTTGGCCAAGCTGGTCTTCTGCCCTGTTTGCTTGACTTCTGACACAGTGCAATTGCTTGCTGCCAGCCTGTAAGTGTTGAGAGGGGTGAAAACATGTCCATTGCCTGTGGGTGCATTGTAAGTAAACTGCACAAGTCTCTTCAGAGGACTTTGTCTGAAGGTAGAATGGTGAGGAACTTGGAAAAGGGCCATTGAGTTTGGCTTCACCTTTGTTGTTTCTGAATTGAGAGGCCTCTTGATGGGAGTGGAAAGGTGTCCCAGTAGGATTTCCTGTGTTTGTGTTAGAGCATTTTCATTCTCCTTTTTCCCCTTTCTCCTTTGGCTCTGTGATGTGTATTTGAGCTTTGTCTTCCCTATTCCTCTTCAGAATGACTCTAAACCCATGTATAGTAGCAAATGGTTTGAATGAAAGCAGTGTGGCACAGAATATTTGAGTACATTATTGCTATGTTCATATGCAGTGATAAGGTGAACGGGATACCTTTGAGTGTAAAAATGAAATAAAGAGAACACCTGTATATTTTGTGTGGAGACAGAAGTCTTTGTGGAGATGTTTTTTTCTGGGAAAAGCTCTATCAAAATTTTTGAAAAGTAAAAAAAGTGGGTTTTTACTCATTTTTTTCCTTGCCTGATGTTGAGTGGGTCCATTTGTTCCGTTTGGAGATGAGACCTTCAGCTCTTTCTGGAAAATTGTGAGGAGCAGGACTTTATTGGCAGGCCTGCATAGATCTTCAGAGAATTGATCTTCCTGTTGCAAGAGGCCCAGTTAGATCCAGGTGAGGGGAAACTGGTCCCTACTCTATGAGGAACCCTGGCTGTGCAATGGCCTCTGCAAAGCAGTGAGCTGGGGGGAGTGACGTATCATAGATGCTTCATAGAGCACCAGCTGTGGATGGCAACTGTGGGCTGTTTGAGCACAAATTTCTTGTGACATTACATGTGTAAGGATTTTCATAAGATGGATGTCACTAAGACAGCTTACATGTTGTCTTGGGGAATTGTTTTGAAGAGGACAATATGGGGGGCATTTGGTGAGTACAATCTTCTGCCAGGGAGAACATGTGATCTCAAGAAATGTGATACATTTCACCTATCTCTTCCACAAGTACCTGATAAGAGGGTAACACCTGAGGCTGGTATAACAAAGACCATCATTTGTCGAGAAGTGAATGACACACTCTCCAGTCCAGAAAAGTAGAATCATGGAATCATTTAGTGTGGAC